TCAATAATATTTTCTATATCTACAATTACATTGTTGTCATCTTCAACTAAATCTTCTACTACATCTTCTACTTCTTCTGGGAACTTCTTATTCTGGTTTCGTACTGCACTTGGACTTTTCACAGGGCTTCATATCCGATTATGGCCCTGTAGGTTACAGAAACAAATTATTTAATTTGTTTCCAGCCCAACTCGAACCGTTGACCTTGTCTGTGGGGTTTGGAAAATTAAGTATAGAATTAGATATAGAATTAAAATATATATCTTGTAAAAAAATCAAAAATCTTTGATTTAAAATAATAAATACATGCTTACTTACTCAACAACAATATTGGGTGATATTTATCTTGGACTTTAATTATAAATTTTAATTAATTTTTTTTTAATTTCAATTTTTTTTATTTTATTAAAATCTACGATTTTTATTGGCTAATCAACATGTGATATTTTTCACATGGCAAAAATTTATAGTAAGACATATAAAAAAAAAAATTATTTATCAATTGTATAACAATCAGGTGACTCAGGTAAATAATTCCTAATTTAGGATGGTTTCTTCTCAATATAACAATAAATTTTGTTTATACAATACACCAATTTCCAAGGGAGACTGTCCTAAATTAGAAAATAATTATCTGAGTCACCCAAATATTGCATATTTTTTTTTATACGTTTTACAATACTTCTATTAAAAAGCCCAGGCCAATCAAATTTGCAAAAAATTTTTTGTATATTTTACAATACTTTTTTAGGGTTTCGGGTAATCTATCTTTTCTATGAAACGTGATTTAATGACTAAGCAAACTTGAAGCTTTCGTTCTATATTTTAACAAACTCAGTTGATTCAAGTTGATTCAGTTGATATTATATTTTAATTTACCTAACAACAATATATCTGAAATTAAGAAGTATATAGAATATAAAACTACTAAATCCTGTTAATTTCATACATTAGCAAAAAATAAATGAGAAGAGGCCAAAGCTAATGGTTTAATCAAAGAGGCTTGGGTAAAAGATAACAAATTATGTTATGATTGTTACATGAATTGTGTACAGAATCAATTGAGAAAAGCCAAATAAGCAAAAGTCTTAGTTGAAGAAGTTGAAACCGATGTAGAAGTAGACATAGTTGAATCTAATGCAAATGTAGCTGAAGCCAACGTAGATTTAGTTGAAGCTAATGTAGTCGAAGAAGTAGAAGATGTAGTAGAAGATTTAGTTGAAGATGACAACAATGTAATTGTAGATATAGAAAATATTATTGA